ATTGTCATTGTCGTTGTGATTTGCTGCGGCCGTCGTTGTCGTCACCGCCTCCTACTTCTTTGCCAGGGCTGGAATCCTCGTTGGGGGCCATCGTTGGGTGGCGTCTGGGTTTACCGTTGGGGGTCACCGTCGGGTGGCGACTGCGGGTTACCGTTGAGGGTCACCGTTGGAGTCCTCGTTAGGGGCCTGGGGTCGCCGTTAAGCGGGCAGGGCCGCGACGGGCAGGGCTCGAAGGCATCATCCGCATCATGAGGAGTCCGACGACAACCATCCTTGTGCGGACTTCTTACCAGCGGGACCACATTTGTTCATCCTCCTCCTCCTCCTCCTCCTGCTCCTCCTCCTCCTCGTCCTCCCCTCCTCCCTCGCTGCTCCTCCTCCTCCTCCTCCTCCTCCTCCTTCTCCTCCTCCTCCTCCTCCTCCTCCTCCTTCTTCCTTCTTGTGTAAGAAGTCCCCATGGGGACTTGTTACACAAGTCTGAACGTCCTCCTCCCCCTCCTCCTCCTCCTCCTCCTCCTCCTCCTCCTCCTCCTCCTCCCCCCTCTCGCCCCAAGGTCCAGGAAACCCAGCGCAGCCGAACGCCCAGTAACCAGAACCTCCAGCAAACTAGACATCCCAGGAACTAGGAACCCCAGCAAAGTCAAGATCCCAGTAGCAACGAACACGCATGGACATCCCATGGGGCGAAAGTCAAGACCCGAGTGGGGGGGGGCATGGACGAGGCTCTTTTTCAAGGTCTGGAGACGCACCAGCTACAGATAGCAAGAGCAGCGCGCGAGAGCGCACCACATAGTTTGCACGACGAATGGTCGAGAGCAGAGCTGGCTACCCCTTGGCCTCACGCAAGCCCTCAAAGATATCCTTCAACTCGTTGTATTCACGCGTGATCTCCGCGTATTCATCGAGGGCTTCGTGTGGTGTGGTGCAGTGCTCGGGGGAGCGCATGCTGTCGGCCTTCGTCATGAGAACGGTTGCTTTCATTTCGAGCTGGAACTTTCCCTCGATGATCGTAGTCATGAATTTGCTGGTAGTGTCGACGCCCGAAGTGGTCCAGCTCTGCATCACGAGTAGCATTGCTTGCAAATTGTCGCCGATGTCCTTGTAGGTTGTGGCATTCGGCCCCTCGCCGACGCCCATGTCCGTAGGGTCAGCCTGCTCACGTTGTTCGTCGCCGTCTGAGTCGATGATCTCTGCAGGCGGCTGGAGATGCTGGGCTGCGTCTGAGACCGAAGGTGGCATAGCGGCAGCAGGTGAAGTGCCGTGACGTTGGTCATGAAGGGCACGCTGGGCCCATTCAAAGCCGAGTCCAGCTTCAACTATGAGATTGTACCTCGACGAACTCTCAGGCATCTCGTCGTCTGACATCGTAAACTTGCAATCAACTAGGCGAGTCGAATCTGTGCTGATGCGGGCTCGCTACGTGGGCCGAAATGATTACGGAGTGTGGCGTGGGATCGTGTCGTTTCAGTTTTGGCCGAGGCCCTCAGGCTCTTGCCCTCGTACACTACACGACGCGCGCGCCCCCGAGGCCACGATCCCGCGCAAATTACCCCACACTCGCGCGCCCGAAGCCACAATCCCGAAACCACAAGAGAACACATATCAAACTAAATGCAATGCACACTGCACGTAGCGGCAACATCTGGACCGTGAAGGGCGCCCCCCGCAAACACGCTGCGCGAATGCTTGGCAAAAGTGGCGGGGGGACATCAATCTGTCAACAACAAATGCAGACTCATTGAGGGCGCTGAACCTGGGGCCTCCAGACGGGGGCAGTCGGAGATAACCATTGCAACCTAAGGAGGTCCGACCCCCCCCGACGCAAAGCATTTGGTCCGATTGCGAACTGCAGTGCGGTGGCTACACAAAGCGGCATCAAGACGAGGAGGGGGAGGGAGGAGGAGGTGTAGGGGGATGGAATATCGAGTGGGGGGCTGAGATGATTTCTCCATGCTATTGTTTTGCATGTTGCCTGGGGCCTTGGGGGAACCGAAACAATGCTTGGGCCCAGCGGAGAAGAAGCGCAGGTCCAAGGTCCACCCCTGGAAACCAACCCCTGCCACAGGAACGGAAGCAGCAACGACAGGGACGATCGTGCACCACGGCGTTCGCGGCGGTTGCGCTGCTGCTGCTGATCTTGTTGCTACTGCTCCTACTCATCCTACTCCTTTTCCTCCCCCTCTTTCCATCATACTCCTCCCATTCCTACTCCTATTCCTAATCCTTCCCGTCCTTCTCCCTCCTCCTACTCCTCCTACTCCTCTTCCCCCTCCTCCTCCTCCTACTCCTCCTCCTCCGACTCGTGTCTTAGCACGGGGGCCCGCTACTTATCCTCCTCATCCTCCTCCTCCTCCTCCTCCTCCCCCTCCTCCTCCTCCTCCTCCTCCCCTTCCTCCTCCTCTTCCTGCCCCTCCTCTGCCTTCTCTTTTTCTCCCTCTTCCTCATCCTCCTCATCCTCTTGCCCCTCCTCCTCATCTTCCTTTTTCTTACCATTAGGTTTGTCGTCATCCTCCTCCTTCTTTCTCCTCCTCCTGCTCCTTCCCTGGCTTGACCTCTCCCGCACTCCCCTCCTTCTCGGCCCTTCCGCTACGGCACGTTTTCACAGGTCCGAGCGCGCAGGCTGTACCCCAGAACGCCTGACAGCGCCAGCCGGCAGAGGAGGAGGGGCAGAGGAGGAGGAGGATGCTGAAGATGTTGATCATGAGGATGAGGATGGAGAAAAGGACGTGCTGGTGAGGAGTGCCGTTGCACGCCTTCACAGCTACAGGACTCGCCTGCAATCACCATCAAATCAGGCGAGCTCAGCGACAGCAGCTCTGCCCGCTTGCCGCGCCCGAACCTTGCACTCCTCGACATCGATGCCTGACTTCTTGAGCTCACGCATCACCTTGTGATAGTGATGGCTGTACACTAAGTTGGCCTCCGAAGATTTGTTGGCCTTGACCTTGGCCTTCATGGGGGGCTTCTTCTTGCCCTCGACCGTCTTCTGGCCCTTGCTGTTGTTCTTGGCGAGGCGGTCCTTCTTCATCTTGGCGTTGAGCTTCGTGAAGCCCTTCGGGTCGAGGGGCTGCTCTGGCGAGGCAGACGTCAGCATCCTGACCTCCTCATTGCTGAAGCCGTCGACGGTCATGGACCTCTGCGGGTCGTGCGTCTTCGTGGTCAGGCGCCGCTTTGTCTCGGCAGAACCGTCCTGCAGTAGCTTCTGCAAGTCGGGGTCGCTAGTGTGGAACAGCCTACCCATGTCCCTCGCCTCCGAGTCGGCGTCGCTGATGCTCATGACATCCTCGGGCGAGGGGCGATCGCAGGGCACCACGACGACGTCATCATCTGAATCACTCGCCTGGCCGCTGCCCTCCTCTCGCCAAGCGCCAGCACCATGATCCCTCGTACCCTTCGAAGAGACCACCATGTCGAAAATGGGCTCGAGCGTTTTCTTGAACTTCGTCGGCACCTCGCGGGGTGGGTCATGGTTCTTGTGGTTTGCCATTTGGCAGATCATCGCTCGCAGCGCGTATGTGCCCTTCTCAAGGATAGCGTTATCCAGTTCTATGCCCTCATGCTTGGCCCAATGGAGCACCCCGCTGAACATGGACTTATGCAAGATCCTCTCGCCACCAGACGCACCGAGCAGAGCACGCAAGGTATCCCTGTAAGGCTCCATCTCCTTCCAGCGGGGAGCGACCTTGAAACTGCTGTTCGTGTAAGGCACGAATTCGCCCTTCTTCGCGAGGGCTGCTGGTGGAAGGTGGCCGAGAGCCTCTTTCAGTAGGGGTGCCTCCACGTGGACCGCAACAGCTTTCGATGTCATGATGGCGCTCGTCTGTAGCACACCCAGGTGCACCAGCTCTCAGTCAAAAAACTTGGTCGGGCCAAAACGGCTTTGGAGAAGGAGGCGGAGGAGGGGAAGGAGGGGGGGAGGAAGGCAATTGCCGAAGAGGGCCACAGAGTCTCGATCTTATGGACTGGGCTGACCTTCTCATCCACAAAAGGCACTTCTCAGGGCAGAGGGGCAATGTAAGACCGTTCGGAATGTCACGAGACCGATTCCCCTAAACAACCAGAAGCTTAGACCTTACGCGTTCTTCTCGAAGCAGCGTTTCCGAACACGGCTACTTGTTGCAACATGGGCGTGTATACCTGATTTTTACTAGGCAATGCAATGTAAACTCGCAGCAACGCAACGCAACTTAACGCAAACGCAAAATGTATCCACGCGATGCAATGCCAATTCGAATGTATCGTGTTGGCGTGGCCAAGTTGATAGCATAGTTTCAGAGCGGGCTTGTACATTTTAGGTAGTAGCGCGTCTTTTTATTGAAGAATCACTCGCGGCGTCATTGCGTGATATGATTTGACGCAACGCTCCATAATTATGGTTGTGTTTCTTTAGATTGTGACGCATGCGTGTTTTTCAGGTGTGAAAAAGAAGAACGTGCGTTGGATTTCGAGACGCATGCGACATATTAATAACACGGCGCCTAGAAATAAGACGCATGTGAAGGTCGGGGTGCGCAATGCGTACTCTCGAAACCAGCGTGGATTCATGTACGTGTACGTCCTTCTTTCGCTCCTGAGTCGTGCCCCCCATGGCCCCAACGGTGACGATCGCAAACCACACCCCGGCGTAGCCACACCCTTTATGCCTCCCCGGAACGGGGGGGGGGCCAGCCCCACGCGCGCAGGCCACTGCTGCCAAGGCAGGCCCCCGTGACGGGCCGCTCCCGCGGCCGCTGTGGCGAGGGGCCACTCCTGCGCGCAGCCGACCGCCGCTCCGCGGCCGCGCCGGAATCGGCTATACGCAAGAGTGACCCTGGGTAAGAGTGACCTTTGGTGCGCGGCATTTTTGGGGACCGCGGGGGGACCAAACACAAGCGCGCAAGACGCTGCTATCGCATCGCTTTGGGCGATCGGGGGACCCCACTGTGCCCGCACCAGAGGTCACTCCGGCGAAGGGTCACACTTACGTCTGGTCGAGCTCCGCGGCCGCACCGGAAGGGAACCGCTCGGCAGGTGCAGCTCCGGGATCGGGATGCCGCTCGGCGTCCGCGCCTGCCCCTTGGCCAGCTCGACCTGGCCGGCCGGGGCGGCACCTCCGTCCGCGAGGGGGGGGGGCCTCGCCGGGGGGCCCCGAGCCCGAAGGCGGCTGCGCGGGCATGCGGCTGCAGGACTCTCGTAGCTGGCGGGCGCTCCTCCATGTCGGCCCTCGGTGTCCCGCGTTCGGGCTCCAGGCCCATCGAACATGGATCCGCGACGAGAAACTGGCCTGTCCCCCTACAGAGGGATTTTCGACGAAAAAAATGCCCCCAAAGTAATAACAAACAAATAGTCCAAACATAGTCTGGGGACTATTTTTTGACTATTGTTCGACATTGTTTGGGATATGTTTAGGGTACTTTGAACTTTTCGTCGACAATCCCCCTGTATGGGGGACAGGCCCGACCTAAAACTGCCTCCAGGGAGTCGGTCGGGACCTGTGGGGCCCCAGGTCGGAACGACGGGCCAGCGGACGTCGGGGCCTCGCTCTTGCAGCAAGCTCGTGCCGCGGAGGCCCCAGCGCCGGCTTCCGGCACTTCGCGGGCCGTGCCGCCGTGAACGGCCGGCGGCTCTTTGACATCGACGAGCACGGCGTGCGCACAGTCCTTCGTCATCTGCTGCCGATCGCCAAGAGGTCACCGACACCGATCGCTGACCTCGACCAGTGGCATCGACCGCATGCACGGACCGCCACCATGAGTCACTGACCACTGGCATCGGCGTGACCACGTCATCGACCATCGGCCACTCACCGTTTTGTGAAGACTCCTCCGACATCTGACGCAGACGGGTCACTGACCACTGGCACCGATCACGTGCACCGAACTCCGCCCCTCAGGAGGAGCCTGTTCATGGAGTCTGCCCCGAGGAGATGGTCGTCGGCACGCTCGGGACCAAATGGGGGGCTCCCAAGACCACCCGAAGCACCCAGGACGGAAAACCATTTTTATGTTGTCTGTCCGAGCCTGAGACGCACGTCGGATCCGCGAGTGCACCTGGACTCCGCGTCGGATCCGCGGCGCGTGCAAGAGCAGACCATAAAAACTTTGGGACAAACCAAGACGTCACCCGAGGTCCCGTCCCCTTCCCTGGGTCCGGATTTGTCGTCCCCGATCTGTGTTGATGGTCCCGGGGCTCGAGAACGGGACCTGGTGCACCAAAATCAAAGAACATGGCTCCATTCCAACAAAAAAAGAACGAGTCGTCGGAGATCTGGTGACGGCAAATCCCCCCGATGATGCATGTAAGACTCCGGAGATGAGGGCAGTGCTAGACCTCCGCGCGCCAGTGGGACAAGCGCCTCTCCCTGCTTCCGTGGGGTCCCCCGTGGCGCCTCCGTGACTATTCACAGGCAGCCGTCCCCTCCTCTCCCCCGTCCTCCTCCTCCTTCTCCTCCTCCTCCTCCTCCTCCTCCCTCCCGCCCTCCTCTCTCATCGTCCTCCGCCTCACTCTCCTTCCCTCTCCGCCTCACTGTCCGTCCCCTCCTCCTCCTCCTCCTCCTCCTCCTCCTCCTCCTCCTCCTCCTCCTTCCCCTCCTTCCTCCTTCCTCCTCCCTCCTTCACATCCACCCCCTCACCTCGTCCTGACTGTCCTTCTCGTCCTCGGCCTCCTCATCCCGCTTCTTCCACCTCCACCTACTCGTCAGCTTCTCCCAACTCGATCTCGTCCTCCACGTCGTCCACGTCTTCCTCACCATCCTCTTCATGCTCCGCCTCCTCGTACAATCCCTCGACTCGCCCTTGTTCCCGACAGAAGCGGGAAATAATCAATGGGGATAGCGGCAGTGCGGGGGAATGGGGGGGGATCACGGGCAGTTTGGACGACGTGGAGGGGAGATAGAAGATGGAGAGCATGCGGCGAAATGGGACGGGGAACAAGGTGGGAAAAGTGTAACGGTCCTCTTCAAACTCTGGCCACACTGACCAGCAACGCAACCACGACTCACAACGGCCTCTGTTGCAGCCCGACTGCCGCACTCTGGGCTGTGAGGGGTTCGTTTGGAAACTGGCATTGTTAGGCGAACCTCAGGGGGGCCTGAACGATTGCGTGTGGTCTGATCTTATTCAAGATTTGGCCCAGCCTTCGTGCTCTCTTCGAATTGTATTCTGGATGTCGGTTGGGCTGAACCGGATGTTTAGTGGCCTGCTCCCCCGAATGCGAAAGGACTGGGTTGTCATCGACGACAACCGACAAAAGCTCCAACGGTTATCATCAACCGCTGTTCTGGCCACGGCCATCCTCCCTCTGCGTCCCACCTCCCCCCTCCGTCCCCAAGAAGGTTGAGGAAGAGGATGGGGGGACCAGATTGGCGGTCGGCTGAACATCTGAAGGGGCCCTGGGACACACACACACACACACATAACCAGACGCAAAAAAATGAGAGGACCCCCCGTCTGCTCCACTGGTTTCTGGGCTCCTGTCTCCCCGCCCACCTCCCAGATGTTCCTGTACTTCTTCTGCGGAATCGCTGATCCCGCACCCCGGGGTCCTGATCCCGAGAGCGCTCGCTTCGGGCCCGAGGAGGAGGAGGGGGAGGAGGAGGAGGAGGGGGAGGAGGAGGAGGAAGGAGGAGGAGGAGAGGAGGAGAGAGGAGGAGGAGAGGAGGAGGAGGAGGAGGAGGAGGAGGAGGGGAGGAGGGGGAGGAGGAGGAGGAGGAGGAGGAGGAGGAGGACGACTCGTCGTGTCTCTCTGTGTGCTTCTGCTGCTCCTCCTGCCCCGAGGGTGCGCGGACTCCCTGCGGCCACCCGCCAAAAGCGCCCGAGGCCGGGCACCGCCAGCGCGCTCCGGCCGGCACATCTCACATCGGCGGGAGCTTCCTCTCCTCTCATCCTCATCCTCCGCCTCCCTTCCTCTCCTCCTCCTCCTCCTCTCCTCATCCTCTCCCTACTCCTCCTCCTCCTCCTCCTCCTCCTCCTACTCCTCCCACCCCCCCCTCCTCCTCCTCTGCCTCCTCTCCTCCTCTACGCCTACTCCTCTCCTCCTCCTCATACTCATCCCCCTCCTCTCCCCAACCCCTCCTTCTCCTCCTCCTCCTCCTTCGCCTCCTCCTCCTCCTCCTCTCCTACAATTAGCGACGAGCGCGTGCCGCGGCGCCGAGCGGAGCGGTCGAGCAACGCGAGCTCCATCGCAGCCCTCCTCCTCCTCCTCCTCCCCCCCCCTCCTTCTCCTCCTCCTCCTCCTTCGCCTCCTCCTCCTCCTCCTCTCCTACAATTAGCGACGAGCGCGTGCCGCGGCGCCGAGCGGAGCGGTCGAGCAACGCGAGCTCCATCGCAGCCCCGTCTTCGTCGGCTGCACGTACCCATCGGTCGGAAGAAGTAGGTAGAAACATGAAGCAGGAAGGCGTTGGAAACAGATTGGGTTTCCGCACGCCTCCTGGAGAGGAAGGGAGAGGGAAAACCACTCGACTCTTGAAGTAGGAAGGCGCTGAAAGTAGATTGGAATCTGGGAATCCAAAAATACCTACTTTCAACGACCGATGGGTAAGAGTGACCCTGGGCAGGAGTGACCTGTGGTTCGCGGCTTGTTGGGGGGCGCGAGGAGGCCAAACACGGGTGCGCAGGGCGCTACTACCGCAACGAGCGCGGCGATCGGGGGACCAGAGTGAGCGCGAACCAAAGGTCACTCCGGCGAAGGGTCACTCTTACGTGTAGTCGACTTAGGTCGGGCATGTCCCCCGACAGGCGGATGTTGCACGACGAATAAAACATGCTTCAAAAATCCGCCGACCCTGTCGGCGTGTGGAAGACGTGTCCTGATCTCGTCGTCTTGTGTGGGTCGTTGTCGTCGTCGTCGTCGTCGTCGTCGTCGCCCACACTGCCCAGGAGATCGTCACGTCGGCTCCAAGAGGGGTGGTCGGCTCCCCTCGGGGGAGGGGAGCTGCCCACGAGATCGCCACGTCGGCTCTAAGAGGGGAAGTGGTCGACTCTCCTCCTGGCGAGGGGAGCGGCCGCGACCCTGGGGGAAGCCAATCTGCTCACCCCGAGCGAGGGGAGCGACCGCGACACGGGGGGGAAGCCAATCTGAGCAACGTCGTAGATACTGGAAGGGAAGCCCCTTCCCTTTTACCCCCTCCCCCGAAGGGGGGGGGGGGAGGGGACGGAAGGGGGGGGGGCGCCACCTGGATACCCGGGGGGGGGGGGCACCCAGGCAGCTCCCTTCGGGCCAGGGGAGCGGCCGCGACGCGGGGGGAAGCCAATCTGAGCAACGTCGTAGTTACTCGAAGGGAAGCCCCTTCCCTTTTACCCCCTCCCCAAGGGGGGTTGGGGTGGGTGGGTGGGGGGGGGTCACACCCGGATACCCGGGGGGGGGAGCACCTCCTCTGCCTCCTCCTCCTGCTCCCCCTTCGTCGTCTTCAGGGTCGGCGGCACCGGCCGTAAGGCCTTCGCAATATTAGCAAAATGCAAAAACATCGTCCCCTCACTATTTTTTGACTATTGTCGAATTTTCCCCCCTGAACAGGGACAGACCCGACTTAAGCCAAGTCTGCCGCTGCAGATCTGCAAGCAACTTGGCCGCGGCACCTGGATCCATCGACGAGGAGCTACTGTCACAGCACGATCGCGGCGCTTAAGAGTTCAACGTTCACCAGCTCAATCGCAGCCCAGTCTGCCACTGCAGATCTGCAGGCAACTTGTCCGCAGCACCTAGATCCATCGACGAGGAGCTACTGTCACGGCACGATCGCGGCGCCGAAGAGTTCAACGTTCACTGACATGCTGCGCGCGACGGGCTAAAAAGCTCAGCTGCATTGGATTGGTCAAACTCGCGAGGCCGAGCTTGCTGACATGGCTCGCGACTCTCACAACATCGCCATACTGCTTTCGCAACAGCCCAGGGACCGCGTATATGACAAATAATTGTGCCTCTCGCGTTTAAGGGAGAACACACTGCTCGTACACTGCACCAATCACGGCAAATCTTCTTGCTTCTTCCAGAGGAGTGGTACTGGCCGGTGGCTGCATTTGCAGAAAAATCCCAGAAGTGAAAACAACTGGCGAGAAGCGGAGAGAAGAGGAGGAGGAACGAGAAGGCGTAATTTGAACACGCTACTCGAACACTGCATCGATCACGTTCAGAACGCGAGCTATCACGGCCACACAACTCCAATCATCCAACCCCTTCCATATTCTGGCTGGGTGGCAAACGCGCAGGGCGGATGAGGGTGGACGGGGTGGGGGGAGGGGGGGGGGGACGACGGAATCAAGCTTGATTTTACTAGGCAATCCGCTTGCGAAACAGCCGTGACCAACATAACAGCAATTGATTGGACAAGCGCCTCCCTCTACCTAAACCAGAGTGGAGCAACACACGGCATATCTTGAAACATTGCGAAGCTCGGCGTGGATATCATAAGCCGGCGCTGGACCCCCCCCTCCCTGGCACGATGACCGCGCCAGGGGCGGCGCCGCAAGCGCCGCAAGAGGGGTCCAACGCATAATTACGTAAGAGATCGCGCGGACCTCAGACATACATACATCTATATATATATGTAAATATATATATGGATGTGTATTTATATATATATATATATTATATTATATAATATATTATATATATATATACCTATTCCTATATTTTTGCAAGCCCGGGCGGGGGGAAAACCCGTCACCCCCCCCAATAAAAAACCGGAGTCCCGGGATCTGGGGCTTTGGGACCCTTCGGACGGGCCTCGAAGCGGCCCCCCGGGCCTCGCAGGGCGTTTTGCCAAGCCGTCGCAGCACACCTAGGGCGATCAGGGGGGTCATCGGAGACGTCCCAGAGAACCCCAAGACAGCACAAGAGCGCTCCAAGAAGCCGTCATACCCCGAAAGATCGCTCCAAAACGTACCAAGAGGCCTCCAAGAGCACCCCCAAGAAGGCCCAAAGAGGGAATAATCATAGACTTAAAGCCGGTTTTTGGTGAATTTCGGGTTCTCCTCTTTTCGGCTTCCCGACGCTCCAAGACATCGGTCTTCTGGGCGTCCGAAGTCGCCTGGGAGGCTCGAAAATCGCCCCGCAACCATCCGAAAGGGCTTCCAAAATGGCCGTAAGGGAGTCCCATGGCGGCCCAAGATGGCCCCAAGACACCCTCCGAAGCATTCCAAGTCGTGACCGGGGCGTTCAGGGAGACTGCGGTTAGAGGCAGGTTGGCCTTAGCTAAGCCCCAGAGGCCCCCAGAACACGCCCGGGAGGCCTCCAGAAGGCTTTACGAAAGCCTGAGAACTTTGGTGAGGCCCCCAGAGGCTCTCCGAGGAGGAGCCTCCGCAAAAAGAGCTGAGGAGGATAGGGAGAATACCCAGGGTATGGCGAGAATGAGGAAAATAAGCATGGAGGAGGGATAACGAACAACATGATTATAACGGCGATGCCAGAAAAGGCAGCAAGGAGTTATCGCAAAATTGTCCGCTTGACCTCCTGCCCTTTCCGCCTGCATACCAATCTTCAAGGACTGCAGTGGCGCTTCGCGCCATGCACCTTGGTCCTTGAAGATTGCTATGCAGGCGGAATCGGCAGGAAGGTCAAGCGGACACTTTAACGATAACTCCTTGCTGCCTTTTCTGGCATCGCCGTTATAATAATGTTGTTCGTTTTCCCTCATCCATGTTTATTTTTCCTCATTCTCGCCATACCCTGGGCATTATCCCCATCCTCCTCAGCTCTTTTTGCGGAGGCTCCTCCTCGGAGAGCCTCTGGGAGCCTCACCAACGTTCTCGAGCTTGCTTAAAGCCTTCTGGAGGCCTCCTGGGCGTGTTCTGGGGGCCTCTGGGGCTTAGCTAAGGCCAACCTGCCTCTAACCGCGGTCTCTCTGAACGCCCCGGTCACGATTTGGAATGCTTCGGAGGGTGTCTTGGGGCCATCTTGGGCCGCCATGGGGCTCTCTTAGGGCCATTTTGGACCCCCGGTGTGCCGGTTTGGGGCTCTCTTGGACTGCCTGGAAGCCCTTTCGGATGGCTGTGGGGCGATTTTGGAGCCTCCCAGGCGACTTCGGACGCCCAGAAGACCGCTGTCTTGAAGCGTCGGGAAGCCGAAAAGAGGAGAACCCCAAATTCACCAAAAACCTGCATTGAATCAATGATTTGTCCCTCTTGGGGCCTTCTTGGGGGTGCTCTTGGAGGCCTCTTGGTACGTTTTGGAGCGATATTTCCGGGTATGACGGCTTCTTGGAGCGCTCTTGTGCTGTCTTGTGGTTCTCTGGGACGTCTCCGATGACCCCCCTGATCGCCCTAGGCGTGCTGCGAAGGCTTGGCAAAACGCCCTGCGAGGCCCGGGGGGCCGCTTCGAGGCCCGTCCGAAGGGTCCCAAAGCCCCAGATCCCGGGAGTCCGTTTTTTTTTGGGGGGGGGTGACGGGTTTTCCCCCCGCGCGGGCTTGCAAAAATATAGGAAGAGGAATACACACACACACACACACACAGGTTCTAAAAATATAGGGATGGTTTTTCCCCCCGCCCAGGCTTCTAAAAATATAGGAAGAGGAATATTGTGCACGGTGGAAGCCATACACAAACCGCACGACAGGGCTGGACCCGAACGTCGTGTCTCGCTTCGCTATCGTTCCGTTGTCCGCTCTGCCCTGCCTGCTCTCCGGCCCCCCCCCCTGTGCCCCAACACTAAGGGAACACACAGTGGCCTAAACATAAAAACTCGGAGGTCCGCGCGGACTTCTCGGATCCGCGCTGGCGCCGGAGGCGCCGCCGGGGGGGTTCAGCGCGGATCCGAGAAATCCGCGCGGAGGTCCGCGTGTTTTTCTGCTTACGTCACTTCTTGTTCCCCGAAACACAGACACAACGAATCGCCGATTCCGCGTGTTTTGTTTGATGTTTATGCCAATGTTCGTTCCCCCAAACGAACGAGACACCGAAAACGCAGCCGACGCCCGGCAGCACGGCGCCGAGGCCCAGCCCCGCCGCACGGGGCCGCCGGGCCGCGCCCCGCCCCGCGGGAGGCGCGGCGGCCCGCCTGCAGCCCCGCGAGCCGTGCCGTGGCCAGGATCTTGGCCGAGGCGACGCCGTCGTCGGCGGTGACGCGCATCGGCTGCACCATGCCGGGGCCTGGGCGACGAGAAGTAAGGCGGGCCTGTCACCCTAGAGAGAGGGGGATCTGGGGCGCAGAATTACAAATACCCCGCGGCCAGTTGCTGGAGCTTGGGGATTCGGGGAAGCATACCGCCTGCGACCTTCACCCTCGCGGGGATGCCACTGCCTACTAAGACGTCACCCAAAGAGTGTCTGCATCCCAGGCCTCGCAGCGGTGTCGGCAGGCGTGTGTGCCAGCCATGCTTCCTCGCGTGCCCGAACGCTTGCCTCTGGTGCCCGAGCTTATGTCTTCCAAGGAGCCCGCACAGGACGTACGCGCCCAGCCACGTACATGAATCACGACTCCTCAGTCCGCGAGACCAGCCTCGTGACACGAGCGTCCGCGCAACGCGCACTTTCGAGACCGGCGTGGATTCATTTACGTGTACGTCCTCCCGTCGCTCCTGGCGTTACAGCACCGTCCACGCACCTGGTGGCATGCGTGGTGTTGAGTGGCTGCGTCGCCTTAGCGCTGGCCGCACTACCTGCCTCCACGCCAGCCGCTCCTGCCTGTTAATGGTGCTCCCGCATTTTCGCCGGCCACGGTCCTGCCTCGGAAGCGGTCCTCTCGTCTTCGCTCGGGCCACACTCGAGAATACGCAAGACTCGGGTTCGTGGGACTCGGGTTGACCGTGGGCCTGATGGGGCCGTCGGGAAACTGACCAGACCCGATCTGAAACTCGACGCGAACTCCCACTGCACGCATCCCACGAAGACTGGACCGTCAAAACCCAGGGCGGGCCCGTCAAAAGGCGTCGGCAGGAGCCCGAGCCCCGGCGAACTCGATGCCTGCGTCTCCCCAGCACAGCCCTGCCTCGGAGTGGCGCTCTCGCCTTCGTGGCGCTGGCCAGCCCTGCCTTGGAGTGGCGCTCTCGTCCCGAACTCCTGCCTCGCAGCGGGGCGGCCGCCTGCCGCCGGCCTCCGTCCGACGACCCACCAGACCACCCCAGCCCAGCCCGAAGACCCGAATTTCGGCTTGGGCGTTGACCTAAGGAACCCTAAGTAAGGTACGGGGCCCCTTTCTCCCATAAGTTGAACTTCGATTTCCCATGGAAAACCTCAGGAACACAGAAGGCAAACTGCAGAACAATCAGGGAGCACCGGGCCCCTCCCCAACGAAAAGGGTTCCTTCTTCAGGGCCCCGACTGTCCGGGCTTCATGTGTTTTCTAGACGTTCCCCGACCCTCCCCCCCATTCCTTGAGGGTGGAGGGGGGATGGCGAGATAGGCAGGGGGAGAGGGAGGTCGGGAGAGGGAGCAGGGGAGGCGGGTGGGCAGGGAGGGGGAGAGGCGGCGACGGGAGGCGGGAGGGAGAGAGCGAGAGGGAGAGAGGACGAGGGAGGACTGGGGGAGGGCAGGAGGGGAGGGGTGGGCGGGCCGGGGGTAGAGGGACGCAGAGGGCCAGAGAGAGAGAGAGAGAGAGAGATGCGGGGCAAATCGGGGCCTTCGGGCTGGGCTGGGGTGGTTTGGCGGGCGGTGAAGGCGGGGCGCTCTCCCTGGAGGCGCCGGCGCCTCGGCCGGAGCCTCGGCCCTCGCGGCTTCCCTCGGAGCGGTGCTCTCGCCACATCGCTGCTCGGGAGTGGTTGATGGGCATGTTTCCACCACCACCATATTGGGTGGGGGTCCTCCTCCCCCTCGTCTTCTTCTTCTTCCTCCTCCTCCTCCTCCTCCACCTCCTTCCCCCCTCCAACTTATGGTGGTGGTGGTGGAAAACAAGCCCATCAGTGGAGCTCTCGCCTCATCGCAGACCACACGCCTGCCTCGAAATGGCAGCGGCAGCAGCGAAAGCAGCAGCAGCACCAGAGGCATCAGAAGTACGAGTAGCATCAATAGCAGCAACGTCAGCAGCAACATCCGCTTCAGCAGCAGCCGTAGTAGTAACAGCACTAGCTGGTAACAACAATACGCAGCGTGCCAACCGCAGGAACAGCAACAGCAATAGCGGCGGCACTGGCAACAGCATCGGCAACAGTAGCAGCAATTCGCCGGTCCCCGGGCGGTCCCTGGAAGGTCCCTTCACGGATGCTGGAACTCCTGCTGTCGGTCTGACAAGGACCCCCAAGAGCGCCCCAGGAGCGCCCGAAGGGTGCTCCAAGAGGGCACTCCAATCGAGATCAATGGGCAACATGGCCCAATATGGCCCGAAGACAGTCCCAAGAGACTTCGAGATAGCCCCACACTGGCCCAATACAGCACCGAAAGGGCTCCTGGCAGCATGATTGGATTTTGCCGAAGTGCTTGCAAGGTTTTGGCGTTGCCGCCTCTTCAGTCCTCCGGCCGCCCAAGACGGCCAAAAAGAAGCTCCAAAGATCGTCTCAAGTCATCCCAAGAGACTCCCACGCCGGCTCCAAGATGGCCCCAAGACAGCCCAAGAGACCCCCACGAAAAGCTTCAGAGCTACTGAGGGGCCCACGGGGGGGAACCCGAACCGAGATCTCGAGACCTTCCCCGAAAGGTGGCCCCCGAGACTGCCAGAAAGCGACGCCCCCCAGGAGCTCTCGAAGGCCCCTAAGAGGCCCCCCCTAAGAGGCCCCCCCTAAGGGGCCCCCCCACGAGGCCCCAGAGGAGGCATCCGGAAGGCACCCGCGAGCGGGCCCTCGCCAGGTCGGGACTCGAGGATGCGGTGGGGTGCAGCGGATAAGGAGCCCTTCGAGGCAGAATCCAGGGTCTGGAGACCGGTGGAGCTCCAATCGCGGCTTGGCCATGGATATCACCGCCGCCCTCAGCAGATAAGGGATCCTCCAGGGTCTAAAGCCTCCTGCATACCAGCGCTTCCACCGTAGATGATGAGATGGAGGATGTTGGAGGAGAGGGAGAAGCGTGCATAAAGCATGCTAGGAGTCGCGCCTTTCGCTGGCCCGAAGAAGCCCGAACAGGGCAGCCGCACATCCGTCCTCTGATCATGGACGCGTGAGAACTTGTGCGCTGTGCGCTGTCACACCCCCAGCCAGCGTACACATACGAGCGATATGCGCCTCGAAGCTCCTGGGAAACGTAAAACTATGGCTGACTGGCACTTTCAAACTCACGGGCGCCTCCGTTCGGCACACCCCTCACGCATTTCGTGCATCGGGGACGCCCAGCTTGCCTCAGAGACGGCTCCGTGGACTCAATTCGGCACACCTTTTCACGCGTTTCGTGAATGTTGGCCACTCAGACGGACCCCGAGACGACACCTTGGATCCAAAATCCGACACACCCCTCACGCACGTCGTGCCTCATGTACCCCAGAAAGCCCTCAGCTGGCCTCCAAGACCACCTTATCCCAAGGAGCACAAATATGCCCCCAAGTGACACTGCAACGCTTGGCTCTTCTGGCAACATCCCTAACACCCTACTGGTTGTAACATCTGCGTGCAAACTTCTCCCCTCAGCCTGGGGGGCCCGCCGTGACTCCCGCTCTGCGGGCTCAAGTCGGCGGCCCCCATGCGGGCCCTCGCCGTGTTGAGCTTCGAGAAGAGACGATGAGATTGAGGATCACGGAGGAGAGTGAGATGCCTGCAGAACTGCATGCCAGGAGCGGCTTCGCGCATTCCGCCACCCGATTCCGTCGATTCTCGCGGGGACACGTGGGAATACCAGCGAAACGTGCTCCCAGCGCTCGCGCAGGTGACAGCTCCTGCAACACGTGAAAACACGAGTGAGATGCGCCCTCAGGGCTGCGAAGGCCTCGCTTCGGTGTGTCCCTCATGCATTCCCTGTCTCATATGACTCTGGGATGCCTAATATACGAGTGAGCAACGCCTTCATGGCTACAACACTGCCATTTCGGCACACTTCTCACGCATGTCCTGCCCCACATTCGACTGGGACACGTGAAAATACAACTGATCTGCGCCATCAAGGGACACGAAACAAAACTATTGATGTTGGCCTCGAAGCTCCTGGGAGGCGTAAAAATACAAGTCAATTGCGATTCGATGTTGATGGGAACCTCAATTCGAGGGCACACCCCTTACGCACTTCGTGATTGTTGGGCGTTCAACTGGGCCCCGAGACGGCTCATTGGATCCAAAATCCGGACCGCCCCTCACGCACGTCGTGCCTCATGTACCCCAGAAAGCCCCCAGCTGGCCACCAAGACCGCCCATCCCCCGAGGGGCCAAACATGCACCGAACCAAAAGACTTCAACGACTGGTGCCGACCCTCCTTGAGGCAATATCCCTACAGGGCAATTTTTAATACATCGGGTTTCTTAACATATGAGATTTTAAATACATGATTTATTTATGAATGAATTGATGCATGAACTCATCGATGTTTTTAATACTAAATCCTTGCATTTTTATTACATGATCCGCACGCGGAGCATGTATTAAAAACGGCACTGTAACACCTACTGCTTGCAACATCTGCGTGCAAACTCCCTCTCTGGGGGCCCGCCGTGACTCCCGGCCCGCGGGCTCAGAAGCCGCAGAGGTCGCAGTGCCAGCAGCAATTCCTGAAAGCTCCAGAGAGGTCTTACAACACGAACTTGGCACTCATTTGAGCAGGGACCAACCGTCCCGGCATTCCTATAGTCATACAGCGAGATGTTCCTAGAACCCAAAAGTGTTCTAAGAACATAACACATGTTCTTAGAACGTGGACCCGATGTGTTAAAACAAGACAGTCCTAGCCAGAAATGTTCTAAGAACATTTCGTGGGAACCACAAAAGGTTCTTAGAACATTGTTTGGTGGGGCTGTAGGCGAGCCGGGACGCTTCGCCACTGCTTGACTCATGAGATGCCGTGTCGGAAAGGACCGCCTGTGCCCATGGTACCCCGATGAAGAACACCAGTAGCAACCCCAAGGGCACGCCCGTGAAATGGCGCCGACTGGGAGAACACGCGCTACCCCCCCACCCGCGCTGTCCAGCAGACGTGCGAAAGCCCTCCAAAGCGACGTGCGACACAGGCCTGCACGCAAGGTGACTACCTACCAGACCACCCCAACCCAACCCGAAGACCCGAATTTCGGGTTGGGGGGGGTATGG